TAGCACTGCCTTCAGCCCAGGGCATGATCATGGAGACCTGGGATCAAGTCCCACATCAGGTTCCCTGCATGGAGCCTGCTTCTCCCTCTGCCTGTGTCTCTCTCTCTCTTTCTCTCTCTCTCTCTCTCTCTCTCTCTCTCTCATGAATAAATACATAAAATCCTTTTTTAAAAAAGGTGCAAACTTCCAATCATAAGATAAATAAGTTCTGGGGGTGTAGTGTACAGCATAAAAATAAAAATAAAAGTTAAAAGAACAACTTTAAAATTGGAAAGAGAATGGAATGGAATGGAATGGAATGGAATGGAATGGAATGGAATGGAAAGCTCAGCAACAGATAGATCAGGGGAACGAAGTATATACTGTTTATATTTATATACACTCACTGGGTGATAAGAATGGTATTCCAAAAAAAGAAGAATCAATAAATGATTCTGATTAAAGCTTTGAAAAAAAAATTTGAGGTTAAGCTCTTCCTTGTTCTGCATGCCAAAATATAGTCCAAATATCTTGGATCAAAGAATTGCCAAAAATGTAAAAAAAAAAAACTTTAGAGAACTATATAGATGAATATCTACTTGATTCCGTGATGGAGGGATGCCCATGTGGCCCAGCGGTTGAGGATCAGGGCGTGATCCTGGAGCCCGGGGATTGAGTCCCGCATCAGGCTCCCTGCATGGAGCCGGTTTCTCCCCCTGCCTGTGTCTCTGCCTTTCTCTCTCTGTCTGTGTCTCTCATGATTAAATAAATATAATCTTAAATAAAATAATTCCCTGATGGAGAAGAAGCTTCTGTGTAAAGTACAAGATTTCTACATCAGTCTACAGAAGAATATAAATTCGTCTTTGGTCAGAAACACTATAAACAAAATTAAAGGGCAAAGAACCAACCGAGAGAAATTAAAACAATATGTAGCCGACAACGGGTCAGAGTCCTTGATATAAAAAGTTCTTGTTAATAGTAAGATATATTTTAAAATGTATACATACATAATATAAATTTATATGTAATGAAATTTTATTTAACATATAAAATTATATGAGTCAAGTTCTCATAAATAAAAGATATAAACAATGGGTAAAGATATGAACTACTCAGAAGAAAGCTGTTCAGATGGACAATGATATGTTTTATCCCAACCAATAATCAAAAAACAGAAGTTAACATGAACCATATATCATATTTGGCCTGAGGGAAAGACAACACCACCCAGGCCAGAATGCAGGAAAAGAGCCATGCCTCTATGGTATCGGTTGTAATGGAAAGAGGTAAAACTCTTTAGGAGGGCGATTTGGTGATATAGAGGAAGACTGCATGCTCTTAGATCCAATAATTCAACTTCTGGGAATTTATCTTAAAAAAATAATTTTAAAAAATCAGAGATATATTCGAAAGAGTAAAAAAAATCTATCTGCAGTACTATAATTCGTAAAATTTTGGAAACAAATTCAATGCACAGTAATAGTACACAGGTTTAAAAATAAAAGCACATCTAGATGATAGATTACTCTTCAGTCATTAATATTTTCAAGGACTTGGGCCATGGAAAACAGTCACCATATCATGATAAATGAAAATTATTATACAAAATTATGTTACCAGTATGGCTGCAATTTCATTTTACATATATATATATATTATATATATATATATATATATATATATATCGATGGTGTATATATATATGGTAGGTACATGGTATATATGTGTGTGTAAATGAACATCATTAATAATCGTTAATAATTTTAATAATCATTTCTGGGAGAGATGATTAAGTGAGATTTGTACTTTCATATTCATCTGTATTTTCTACATTTTCTACCAGAACGTGTGTTACCTTGAAAACCAAGATAGATGCCATTTAAAAAGCCCTAATTTTGTACTGGGAGCTGCTGGAGGAGGGGGAGGAAGGTGCCCCTCGAGGCTGGCTTCACGGGGCTTCGCGTAGGGTACAGATGCACCAGGAGAGGGCGCCTCCGCCTTTCCCCACAGGCAGGATGGCTCAGTTACCCATCAGGGCCCTGGGATGCTCCCTGGGGCCTCAGGATCCCAGCTGGAAACATCTCTCATCCCTGGTGATCACATTCTTTTCCTGGGTCTCCCAGAAATTTGTGCAGAAGAGGGACACGTGGACCTGAACGCCTCGCAAGAGTTCCCTCTGGTCACTCTCTTGACAACACCCAGTGTGGACGGCCTGGGTCGGGTCACCCCTCTGCCCCGGTTCCACCTCAGTGGCTGCTAGAAACCAGGGGTCCCCCTCTCCTCAGCACTGGCTCTGCCTTACTGGCCACACACCCGGGTTTGTCAGGTGGCCCCATCCACACCTCCCACCTAACAGGCTGCCCCGGCCACCCGGGGTCCCTGAGCCCTACCTGGCTCTGGAAAAAGTCCATGCTATTCTCCTCGGTACCGGTTAGGGGCAGCAGATATCCTGGCATCCTCGGTTCCTAAAGGGAGCTTCCAACTTGGAGATCCTTGAATTGCTCTGGGTTGTATTCCTGGCCTGCCAGGACCTTCCTGACCAGCCTTCTGGAAGCCTGAACCTTTCACCTAGTAGCGCGCCTGCGACTCAATACTGAGCAAAGGTGACTCTGAACACCGAAGCGTCCTGGATAATTATTGCACTCTGCCTCAGGCGAGCCACTCTCATCGCTCTGTGGGTATTACAGGCCCCAGACCTCTCCTTGGGCCTATCATTCTGTCTCTCCCACACGCCTAAGTTAAGCTTTATTTTGACTCCTTAAGAAACCCTCTGGCTGGGCCTGCAAGCAACGGAGGAGCAAAGACATCTATGAAATTGCTTCTGCAAGAGCCCCGAACATATATTTATATGCATGTTCCAAACACACACACATACACACGTACATGTAAAAATCCTAACAATGGTTATTTCTGGGAGGGATGCTCATAGGGGATTCACATCTCTTACATTTATCTAATACTTTCCGCATTTCATACAAAGAATGTGCGTTAGGGGGAGAGGGGCCGGGGCCCCTGACCAGCCTGACAACTTTGCTTGCTCGAAATGCTTTACAAAAGCAACAGTGACTTGATGCTGAGCCCCCGAGCATCCTTGAACCAGAGTCTCCTTTTGGTTTAATCCCCTTGTTGCTTGTCAGCAACTCTGCATCTGGCCGATGCAGGTGGGGACACTGGGGATTGCGCGGTGACATTCTAGCCAGCGACAGAACCATCGTGTGTGGCCCTATCCCGCCGGCGGGAGCTGTCTGTCCCGGTGGCTTCTCATAGTGCGCTTGCCCATCTTTCCAGGGCTCTGCAGAGCAGGACACCGACAGTTCAGTTCAGTGGGCAGAACTTTCTGGAGAAAGGAGAAAGCAACACCTGCTATGTAGCAGGCAGGCTTTCTGTGCTTTGTAGGCTCGGCTCCTGATTCCTCTCAGCAACCTTCTGAAGGGGGTGCCACGATTCCCAGCGTTCATTTGTCAGGATCTGAGCCACTCAGTGGACGTTTGTGGACGTTAAACATGGTGGAAGACGAATGCGAACCCAGGCAGTCCAGCTGCCCAACCAACTCCCTTCACCGTCACCTTTCCGCACGTCTTCAGATGGACCTTTTGCTAATTCAGATCCCTGGGGGTGCAGAGCCTGGGCCTTCGGTCACCAGGAGGCCATGGGTCACTGCATCCACCCAGATCATTCGGGTCCTCTTCATGATGGGCTGTCCTGTCCAGTCAGATGTCACCGGGGCCAGTGTAAACCCAGAGTCACTTGGGATGCGATGGTTCTAGAGGCCACCTCCATCTTAAGCCAAGGAAGACGCTGTTCTGGGGAGGACCTTCCTTCTCGGAACAAGGACCCTTGGTGAGATTTGGCCTTTCCATGCCTCCATCTGAAAGCTAAGCTCTTCTCTGGGAGTTTGGATTGAAGGTTAGGGATGATGGCTCAGAGGGGGAAAGTGTGAAATGGTAATCGCTTTCATATGACACTTGAGAAATGTTATAATAAAGCTGAGTAAATTGGAGCATGAGTTAGCCCGGTCTTTTGCCTAATGATGTCACCCACTTTCTGCTTCCTCCAGCCTATGATTAATAAAAGGGGGATTATTACAGTAACTCATTCCTAGTGGGCAGCAGTGACGTCAGCAACAGCTGAGCAAACTGACTACATTTAGTCGTGCGTGTGTATGTGGGCATTTTTTTTTTTTTCCCTGTGACTAACATGAAGCTAAGAGCATCTAATAAAACAAAAGCTCCTTGAAATTTGGGGAACTTACTGGGTGAACTCTTTTTTTTCTACAGGGAACACCATTTTAACTTTTCTCATTTCACAGTTACATGATGTTGGAGTTGGCCAAATCACATGATTGGCTTTCTGCCCCTGTTCCTTAAGTGATCCCAAATTGACCCCTGCTCTCGGGGAAAGAGGGTTTTTCCTTCTAATACAATGAGCTGTTTTCCTTGTGATTACAATGGCTCTTCCTTCCTTCATGGTTCTACTCCGTCTTTAAAGTAGAGTGAGCATTAGGAAGAGGGACTGTGGCCATCGGTTCTTTTTTTGGAAGTTGAAGATGAGTTGGAGAATCCCGAGGTTCTAAACTCAGAACACTGTGCTCACAGTTTGCTTTTCCAAGCAGATAAAGGCTTACAGAGGTCCTGCTTGCTCGTTCACCTTTGCAAACTTGACCTTCCTAAAATGAGAGCAAGGCACCTGGAAATATTTACTAACTGAGCTGAACCGCTGCCAGAGCGCACCCGTCAGTGTGCACAAAAGTAGGAAAGTACACAGTGACCGGAACGAGGGCGCTCCCATCGTGCGGGTCTGGACGTGCCTCGCAGGTGCTCCCACAGAGGCGCAGAACCTTTGGACTCTTTCTACCAGCACACGAGGGACACAGCAATTCACTGATTAAAAAAAAAAAAAAAAAAAAAAAGGTACACAAAAAACTGTCCCCAGCCTTCCCTGCGTCTTCCCCTCCGAAGTTACAATTGGGGAACAGGTCGTGGGGGTGTCTTTGTGGATAGGTAACGCTGGATTAGCATCAAGATTTCTGCTCTTATGGGTCCAGTGGAATTTATATGCTAAACATATATGTCCTCAAGGCTCCAACATGGAAGTTACTGCCCAAGGGGATCCAGGTGAGAGAAATGACGACAACAACCCATCACCTGGTCTCTTGTGAGTATTTTTCATTCTCTTCGGGGGCGTGAGGAAGATCTGCCACTGTAGTAATGTGTCCCGATTGGATTAGACTCAAGTTATGCTGAACAATTTGGAAATATACGTTGGTCAGGAAGGATCTGGGGGGCCTATTTATTCAGTTTGTATTAATGAGGGTGGGGTTTTTTTTTTTCCCAATATATGTCTTTTTGGTAGATGTTACAACTGACTCTTCCTCCCTATATATTGAGTTTTTCCTAAGTACTAAATGGTTACTTCTTGGGAAGAAATCCAGGCATTTCTGAATCATTTGGAAGTGGATTGAGGTCTCTGCTTCCAAAATAACCGTCTACCTGAGGAGACTGTGATTCACATGTTGGAGTTGATGAAATGGCATCGGGGTGTCTAAGATATTCCGCTCGAGGGTGTCTTTCGTCTTAAAACAATCTCTGACTGACTCTCCTTTCTGGATGATCCCAGTCACTCAGGGACCTAAGTGATGAGCCAGGCAAGTTGGCCTCATCACGTGGCGAACAGCAGTTCACTTCTAAGGGAGTTTGATTCGGGCAAATTCCCTCTTGTGGGTCTCAGCAACATTTGTTGATGATGATGATTTTCCGGGACGTGGGGTCCTGCACCCAGTTCCCTCAGCCCTTAAGGAAAGTGCCACCTGAAGGGGCACGGCCTTCCTTGAATGCTCCATACCACTCCCTTTTCAAAGGGAAGTTTGGAGAATATGACCTTGTTTGGAATACGCGGTAGGATTTAGGAAAGCATTCTGTTTTATCTCTTTGGATATTGACTGTGTGTCATTCCCCTACGGTATTAAACAAATAAAACCAAGCTCCATAATATTTGTTTGCTCGGGGAGAAAGGCATGGTAATCTCACTTCTGTGAATGTTACTTCAGGGGAATTCTCTATTGCGTGGATTTATCTGATACCGAATTGCTAAAATGAACAACTCATTCTTCATTCACTTACTCTTCTCCATGAGTCTCCTGCCTCCTAACAACTTGAGCGTGGGCCAGCTCATCTCATTTTGTTGCTGGTCACCACGGCTCTGCTTTTGGTTCGAGCACAAAGCCAACAGGGAAATGTCTAGATGCCGCAGTGGACCGCGAGTGGGGGTGACAGTGTTGCCCGAGGGGTGCTCTTTCTGCGTCAGTATCTCTGTGGGGTGTGGGCCTCCATGAATCAGGAAGCACAAGACACTCGAGGAGACAGAGTCACTTGAATTATTAATATTTTTCACACTTGCCAAGGCCCTTGGAGCATGCACAGGAAGGGAATTAGTTGAAACTTTAAACTTTAAAACTCTAGATCAGGGTTTCTCGACTGCAGAACAATTACCATTTGGGGCCGGATGATTTCTCCGGAATGGGGGCTGATCCATGCCTTGCAGGATGTTTAGCGGCATCCCTGGCCTCTACCCACTAGATGCCACTAGCACTTTCCTTCCTAGATATGTTAGGCAAAAATGTGTTCAAACATTGCCAAATGTCTCCTGGGGAGGAAAATCATCCCGGTTGAGAACCCCTGCTTTAAGACTGAAGGATAATGGTTTACCAGGTTGGGTTTGTTTGTGTGTTTGTTTTTATTCTTCTTCTTTTATTTCCCTAATCATTTTAGTTGTAGCATCTGGGTTCCCTCGGTTTAGATAAGGCATCTCCAAACACTCTGAACACAGAGCAGCCGTACCCAGCACAAGGCTTTGTGGGATATTCCGGCGGTTCTCAGAGAAATGCGAGGTTTAGGAATCGGGTGTTGGATTAACTGTTTCTGACCCTCTTGTTTTCTAAATGAGTTTGGGAGGAATTTTCATGCTTCCCTCTCCCTCTCTGTTCGGCTGCGTGCGTTGCTGGACTTCACTTACAAGCAAACAGCCTCCCAGTTCCATGGGGACCGTGGAACGCTGGGCCCTCTCGGTGGCAAATCTGTCTACCTACCTAACCTTCAGCCCAGGCCCCGGGCAGGCTCTGGCTGTCCAGGAATCTGGCATGGCTTGCCAGTCCTGTATTCAATCTAAGCCATCTGATGAGACTCCTGATCTCCCTGCAGCAAATATCACTCTGGATCCTGCCCACGTTTTCTGGATTCCGAGCTGCCTCTCGAGGGAGTCACCGCTCCCCACCGAGGCAAGGTTTTCCTGCCTGGAGCCCAGAATAACACGGCAGCTGCTGAGAACACCTCGAGTCCTTTTGATTTCTCTCCATAGTCACGTTTTATGTTCCGTTTCCCAGACGGGATGAACCAGAAATCATGCTTTTTTGGAAACAGATTTTTCATAGGAAGGAACTGAAACACCCTGAGTCGTCAGCAGCATAGTCGGTGCTCTGAACCCCCAGCCTCGTGCCATCTCGGCTGAATCAGACGGACAGCTTCCCGGTCACCTGCTCGGGGCGTGCTCGGCTCCTCGCGCGTGTGTTGCACTGGCGAACGGCCCTGCGTGAGCAGCCGTGAAAATCAGGGAGCCCTGAAAAACGGCCCCCTTTCCTGGGCCCGTCTCCCTGTTCCGGGAGTAGTGAGCAAAGAGACCAATTAATAGCATGGATGAAAGCCGAAGGACAGACGGTCTGCCTGAGAAGAGAAATGAACATTCTTGCTTCTTGATCTATGCCAGCTTTGTACGGGGACAGCTGCTGCCACGGGTAAACACCACTATAAGTTAGCCGTGCCCTAAGGTGTGTGTCACCACAGGCCACAGGGAGGCACGGGGGGCCCGCCGGGCTCTCCTCCCTCCACGCCACCGAGCTCTTATCCTCAGATGAACTTTGTTTTTTGACCAGCTCACTAATTGTGATTGAAAACACCAGCTCCCCAGCAAGGCACAAGCACTGGAGTTAGCAGCAGCAAGACAGGCCCTAATTGCTCCATTTACATAAAAGTAGAAACATACAACGTCTAAATATAAATCTCTGGCACATCGTGCCTTTTGCAATTACAGTAAAATAAGGTACCACAGTTTCCCTCCCGGCTCCTTCTCGCAGCAAGCTGCTCCACCGGGTTCTCCAGGGGCTGCTCCTCGAGGCGAGAACAGAGCCACGCAAACGCTCCAGCGAGTAGTGGGGAGATTTGGGAAGTCGCCAGTGAATCCGGCCGCCCGCACTAGGTGAAAACCGCGGTGGCAGCGGGCCACGGTGCTAGCGCAGACGCGGGCAGGACGAGTCCCCACGCGGAGAGGGCCAGCTCGTGGGGGCGGGGGCGCTCCCGGGGCCCCCGGCCGGGTCCCCGAGGGCTGGGTTCAGAGCCTCCCAGCTGCACTCACTGCATAGTGATTTTTCTCTCTCTCTCTCTCTCTCTCTCTCTCTCTCTCTCTCTCTCTCCCCTCTCTGAATTCTTTAGCTGCCAAAAGGGGGGAAAAATCAAGAGCTGCTCTTAAAAGAAGTTGCCCTTGCTGGTGCTCGGGGTAAAAATAGAGGCGGCCGCTCGGAGCGGCTTTGGCCCAGACTCCAGCGCCGCGAGCCGGGCTCGAGCAGCGGCCGCGTCCGGCGTGATCCCTGGGAGCTGCCAGCAGGTGCTGCTCAAGGTACGGTGGCAGGCCGAGCGGCGGGGACCGCAGGGCCGGCCGCGGGGACGCTGCTGGGGGAGGGGGCAGGAAGTGAAAGAGAAACCAAACCCAGGCAGGAAAAGTGGATGCCTGTCAGGAGTTGGGCTGACCGCCCCCCCACCCCCCCAGCACCTCCAGCACCACCAGCACCACCAGCACCACCAGCACCACCAGCACCAGCACCACCCCACCCCGGGCCCTGGAGTTGGGAAGGGAAGAGATCCCTCCCAGTCCCCAGTGTTCGACACAAGTTATTTTAACCTGCCTGCTTCCTCTTCCACCCCCACTCCAATTTCCACCGAGTGAGGAGGCATTTCCAGGGTGGCTCAGCTCTGAGGCTGGGGATTCAGGTAGAGAGGATGACATCACCGCTGGTGAGCTGACCCGCTGGGAAGGTGGGCACCTCTCTCGGTGGTGGTGGCATCCGGTCCCTGGCCTGACTCCATCTGAGTCACGCAGGTGTAGGGTCGCTCTCCTCTAGCCAGGGCTCTGCAGATCTCTGGGGCGCCAATGTTGCCAGAGAGCCACCAGGCGTCTCAAGAGTCATGCCACCTAGTATTTTCTGAGCGCACGCGTGCGCGTGCTGGACCCTGCAGTTCAGGGAGTATTGGGGATCCCACTGTATAGACTAGGACACTGCGGCCTGAGGTTATATGGACTCTGAGTTTGTTCTGTGCCACCTCCCTCCCCCCACCCCCAGACTCATAAACAGGATGCTATTTCCAGGACCCCCGCCCCTGGGGTTCATGCCTGGGAGAGGGTGGGTTCAGAGGCTCCCTGGGCCAGAGCTCTCCAGGAGTGCTCATCCAAAAGGGCTGGGGAAGTTCCTTTCTTGGACAGGCAGGGGTTGAGTCCATCGGATTCCAAAGCCCAAACCGATGGGCAGTTTTGGAGTTAACCAGAGCTCATCCTGCTTCTGGCTTTCCTTCCCAGATTCCCTCTGCTCCTCTACAACCTAATGATTTAATTTCTTTATTTCTGCGTATGCAGTTCTTAGAATACCCCCCACCCCACCCCACCCCGATGTACAGCTCACCATCCACACTTTCTCTGGGTTTAGCAGAGGCAGACCCTCCTACACAGCAAACTCCTGGTGTCCTAAAGGAACCTCCTTAAACTACACATCAGGAGGCCAGAGCCTCTATATTTTGCTTGTGGGCACAGTGAAAAGTTTATTTTATGCATGTTAAATCCTGCATACAAAACAACATATCTGGTCATATGGCTTTCATTAGCTCCCAATTTTGCACATTTTATTCAACTTGTCATGAGTACCCGGCTTATGCTTCAGCTATACTCCTTCAAACAACCCTTCCCCACTATGTTCCTCTGAAGATTCCTTCCAACTGTGTTGTTTCTCAGCCTTGCTGGCAACCCTCTCCCCCAACAGGAACTCTAAGCGACTTAACCCCCATTTCAAAGAATGTTCATTTCTTTTCATTAATCTCATGTAATGTTTGTAACAATTTAGAAATCGTAGGACTCAAAGTTCTGATAAAGAAGAATGATGTGTGAGCTTGCTTGCTTGCTTCCCTTTTTTTTTTTTTTTTTTTTTTTTGCTAGTTGGACAGTGATTCTCAAGACTGGGAGAGGATATTTATAAAGTTCACTAGCAGAGAATGACGATTTTCAAAGTTCTTGGTGATAAATGATTTACGAAGCAGACATTCAATTTCGAGATGTAAAATAATAGTGGAAGTCAGGGGAGGGGCAGGCCATCATCCTATAGGTATGCACATTTTCCCATTCTTCCCCCCCACCTCAATGAAGTATCTTATTTTAAAAAGCAAGTCAGAATCTCTATAAAGAGCCCTGCAAGTTTTCTTCCCTGTAAGAAACAATAAAATACTTTGTAGATAGAGGCAACTTCATGAAGTAACAGATGTTTTATGTGAAGACATAAAACTGAACCTGAATATAATGAGAAGTGTGTGCTCGAGCAGTAAAAGTTGGAAGCTGGACACTCAGGGAGATAGAGCTATTCAATTCCAGTGTTTTTCTAAAAGGTAGTCTAGTCGGTCAGAGGTTTAACTGGCTCAGTGATCACCAAGTAGTGTCCCAGCAGCCAAGAAAGGCTTTCCATTAGATAATGAATTATGAAATATGTCTCACACTGGAAAAACCAGTCATCTGCTGATGTCATGCTGATTCTAACCAATCCCCAACAAAGCCCCAGCCCTCCTCTGTTTGAGTGGTACCAATGTGTGAGTGTGCAAATAAGTAGTACAGTATAAAACTTCAGAGTGCTAATACATGAAGAGGAACTCTTCAGACAGCTCTTACCACATGATACAAGAGTCTGCTGGTGAAAGAGAGAGGACCGGAAAGGTAATGCTTTTTAACTCTTACTTCGGAGGTCTTGACACATTCATAGCCAGAAAGGTTAGAAGGAATTTACTCACTGCACTTCCATGCACGTTGGGATTTGTGCCTTTTTATATTATTCAGGCAGGTTAATACAGCTTTTAATAGCAGAGCATGCAAATAGATTGCGTGTTTCTACAACCCATTCAGCACTTATATACAAGTACATATGCCACAGAGAAAGCTGTTTTGAAGAGTTACATTCACCAACAGTAAATCCAGGGAACACACACACACACTCACAGACAGAGGGGATCCAAATATTGATAAGCTCCCCTTATCTAAATGCTACTATTGGGACTCTGGACTGGCTGGGAGTCATTAAACTTTGAGTTTTATTTCAGTCTCTCTTGTAAAATTTAATTGGACTACAAAATGCTTTGGGTACTGTATATGTGACGCCACAATGCAGGAGATTAAGTTAAGTTAAGTTTTGTATTTCAGAGATGTTTTATTAAGGGGTTAGAGCGCAAATGCCCCCTCCCCATTGCCTTTCACCAGCCCCCACTAAAAAAAAAAAAAAAAATGGACTCTTTAGGGAATGTGGACCAAGTCTTAAGAAGAAGAGCAGAGTAATTGATGTTCCTGGAGGATAAATCTCAAGCCTGATAGATGGCTTGGAACAGAGAAAGTCTTGCAAAGTAATTGTTTTGCAAAAGGGGGACAGCGTGTCAGATTCAGGAGAGCAGTGCTGTCTTTGCAAACTGTAATTTTACCTCAATGTCCCAATCTATTCACCCTCCCCCCTTTGCCCTCGGATCCTAGGCTTGTAGTAATGGTATTTACTAACTTTTTCCACCCAGAGCACATTGCTTAACTATAATACTCTGAACACACTAGGTGTCAGATATAAGCTGACTGTATCTACAGAAACTGAGGGCTTATGTGTGGGAAAGAAACGAGAGAGAAGGAAAGCTTTAACAGATGGACCTCTTAAAGATACTTCTGCATGATAAAAGCAATAAGACAGAAAATGAAAAAAAAAGGGTGGGGGGGAGAATAAAAAAAACTCAGAGAGGCATTGTTTAAAAATTCACATTTTTCTTTTTCTGTGAACACTGCAATCCATGATGATTTCATCTGTGCTGGTCCTTTGAGGGGAAAAAGGAGCCGTCAGGGGGCCAGTCCCTGGACAGGCTGGCCCAGGACGGGGCAGGGGGCAGGCTGGAGAAGTCTCCCAGGGCAGAGGAAATAAGCTGCCAGTATATTTTAGAGCCTCTTTTCCCAGGGGACCGGGGATCCACGTCCCAGGGGCATGTTTGTTGGTGGCAGAGGAGGTGGGAAAGGCCAAGGGGAGCTGTGCAGTTTGCCCAGAGGTCCGGGCGGGCGGCTGTCAGCGGCCAGGGTGCGCTGTGTGCAGCCCGAGGGGGCGGTGGCCGGGGAGAGGGTCCAGGTGACAGGAGCAGGTCGCCTGGTGCCGGCGACCGGGGGATCGCTCGCTGCCCGGCTGCTGTTGGCAGTTGGGAAAAGTCAGAACGTCTGAGATGCCCCCCACCGAAGTTCTCCGGGGCTCCGCAGAGACCCCGACCATTTACATATGACTGAATGGGGAAGGGTGCCCTGGGGGGGGGCTCCCCCCACCCCGGACTGGGGACCACCGATCGGCCCGGCGACCTGCCCGCCCCGGGTCCCCCGACCTCCTGCCACCTGTGTGGCCGCCTCCCGGAGGGGGTCCCCCTGCACCCTGGGGTGCAGGGCCCTGGGGGCAGACCGCTCCCACCCAGGCACGCCGGGAGGCTGGGACGGTGCCTTTCAGGGGTAGGTGCGTGGGGGGCCTTTCCCCTCCAAGAGAGGAAGAAGGGGAAGCAAGGGGACTGGGCAGAGAAGGCAAAAAAAAAAAAAAAAAAAAAAAGGAAAGAAATAGAAAAAAGAAAAAAGGGGAAGTAGAACCAAATTCGGAGGATTTCTTTCAGAAGGGAAAGTAGAACTCCCGAGGATGGTGCTATGGAAGAGAGGTGTGTGCGCGGAGCAGTGAGCAGAAGGAAAGCAGCCTGTCAGAAGACGGGCTGTCCCTCCCCTTCCTAATCACAGCCTCTACTCACAGACAAACTCCCTCCCTCGCCCATTCACGCACTCACTTAGGACCAATCGTTCTCTCTCTCCTCTCTCTCCCTCTCTCTCCTCTCTCTCTCTCTCCCTGTCCCTCTCTCCCTCTCTCTCTCCCCCTCTCTCTCCCTCTCCCTGTCTCTCTCTCTCCCTGTCTCTCCCTCCCTCTCTCTCCCTCTCCCTCTCCCCCCTCTGGTCCTCTCCTCTCTCTCCCTGTCTCTCTCCCTCCCATCCTCTCTGTGTGTCTCTGTCTCCCCCCCACCCTGTGTCTCCCTCCCTCCCTCCCTCCCTCCCTCCCTCCCTCCCTCCCTCCCTCTCTCCCTCCCTCCCTCCCTCCTTCTCTCTTACTCGGAGACAGTCAGAACTCTCCTCCCTGACAGCCACAAACCTACAGCACTGACTGCATTCAGAGAGGGAACCTGCAAACAAAACTTCCCAGAAAACTTTTTGTTCTTGTTCCAGAGCATTTGCTGAAGAGGAGGAGGGAGAAAAAAAAAAGAAAGAAAGAAAGAAAGAAAAGAAAAAAAGAAAAAAGAAAAAAAGAAAAAGAGAAAAGAAAGAAAAGGAAGGAAGGAAGGAGGAGGAAAAAAAAAAACCACAAAAAAAAAAAAACAAACCCAACCCTGTGCGTGAGGGGGGAGGCAAAGCAGGGCCTTTTAAAAAAGGCGACCACGACAACTTTTGCTGCCAGGATGCCCTTGCTCTGGCTGAGAGGATTCTTGGTGGCGAGTTGCTGGATTATAGTGCGGAGCTCCCCGACCCCGGGGCCCGAGGGGCCCGGCGCGGCCCCCGCCTGCCCGGCCTGCGCGCTCACCGCCCTGCCCAGGGATGCCCCCAACTCCCAGCCCGAGATGGTGGAGGCCGTCAAGAAGCACATCCTCAACATGCTGCACTTGAAGAAGAGACCCGAGGTCACCCAGCCGGTGCCCAAGGCGGCGCTTCTGAACGCGATCCGCAAGCTGCACGTAGGCAAAGTCGGGGAGAACGGGTTCGTGGAGATAGAGGATGACATCGGCAGGAGGGCAGAAATGAATGAACTCATGGAGCAGACCTCGGAGATCATCACGTTCGCGGAATCAGGTGGGTGCGGGCATGGGGCGCGGGGGGGTGGGGAGCGCGTGCCAGGCCTGGGGGGAGGTCGGGGGGGCGCACGGGCACGGGGCGCCGCGGCCGGGGGGGGGGGGGGGCGCGCGGGGGGCGCGCGGGGGGCGAGGCCTCCCCGGGCCCCCAGGGGAGCGCGACCCGGCGACCCGGCCGAGCCCTCGGGGCCGCGGAGGAGCTGCAGGCGGGTCTGCGTGCGCCAGGCTCCCGCGCCCTGCCTGCCCTGCCCGCCCGGCCCTGCAGACCACATCCAGGCAGCCCCGCTGGAAGCCCGGGCATTGTCGGGGGCTGCAGGGGTGCAGGGCGGTGGGCTGGGGGGAGGGAGCCCAGGAGGCTTCCGGACCCCATCCAAAGTTTTTATGGGGTGAGTAGGGGTGGGGGGGGGCGCACGCCGCGCGGAGTGTGGGGTCGGGGTGGGAACAGGCACAGATGAAGTCATTGTCTTAAAACAAACCTTCCCTTTAAAAGTCCAGTCAGGGGCCACACCAACAAGCAGGGCTTACTTAGTGCTGGTGACAGTCTTTTTTTTTTTTTTTTTTTTTTTTTTACCTTTAGAAACTCTTAGAAGAGCACAAGCATCACATTCGAGGCAGTCAAGAGGGACTTTGGTGGCGGGGGGGGGGGGGGGGGACAGCTGACACTGAACCAGCAGTCACTTTTGGAACGCCGACTTTTGCTCTCTGAACAAAAAAAAAAAAAAAAAAAAAAAAGAGTTTTGTTCTCTGCAAAGTTACTAAGAGCTCCCTGCCAAGGAATGCAACCTTGACAAAGTGCTCTCAGATACTACACTGAACTCTCACTCAATCCTTAAGAGGAAGAACTTTAATAGATTCTAATCATTGGCTCGGGAACATGCTAACCTGTTGCTGAATAGAAAAATACCTGTCACAAGTGTGGCCCCAGCCCCGGAGCCAGGTTATTTTTACAGTTAGGTGACACAGCCCCTTCGCACGCCTGCTAGCCCGGGCACGCCCCGGCGCACAGATGTGTTAATACTGTGTTACTTTCATGGTAATGCCAGCCTAAAGAATCGTACCCCTTGCCAAATCCATTTGAAAGGAATGCCATTGTTTTGTTTGGTAGAGCATATGGCCAGTAAAGTATGTGCAGGGACTCCCAGCATTTCTGTTTAAAAGTTTGCCGCAGCAGTATAAACAATTAAGGCAACACTCAGAATTTCCAATCCTGAAAACCTGTTGACTCAGATGTTCTGTTTTCAAGAAAACCCTGCCAGACCTGGGCATCCTTTTGGGGGAGCAGATAGCCTGCTGGCTTCCTGGCTCCCCTGGGAGGAGAAGCCCTGATGTCCTACGCCAGCCTCCTGGCAGGACAGTGTCTCCCTCTCCCTGGGCAGAAGCTTCTTTTAAAAGAAGGTCTTTCTTTCTCTAAGCTCTTTCTTGATGCAGCCCCCCCGAAGGGCACGGGGGTTAGGACTTTATCTTTCGAAGCTTACTGAGGGACAGAGTCAGGTTGGCCGCTTACCTTTCCTGGGGGGCAAGGTAGGAGGGAAGGTGCTTACTGACACTGAGTCCAGTGGAGGGGAATGGATTCCCGGGGTCTACAGGTCTGCTCCCTGTGCTGGCACAAAGGGACCCTGGAGGTTTTCATAAACCAGTCACCCCACATGATGGCCTTAATTGCAGGTCCTACTCAATGGCTTTCCCCGCGTCAGATGACTAAGTGTACCTATGCCTCTGACCACTTTTAATATACACCTGATGCTCTAGCAACAGCCTCTCTTTCGGACTTCGCTGACTTGTCTAGCAAATCACGCTCTTGGCCTTGAGAGGTTCTGCAGAGAAAGAATTTGACCTTTTACATTCTTTCTTACTTATGGCCTTCATCTCAGTGGCAGTCTTTTTCTCTTTTCTATGAACTCTCGTCATTTTTTTTTTTCCTAACTTTCCTGTTAGGTGTTTAGTTTAAAAGACATGGAGATACTTTTTTCAAAGGTGATTCATTTGACTCACATGCTGACTCCAGTTTAAGGCTTGTAATGGAAAACTCCTCCTGGTTGAGTTTACAACTTGACTTTGGATGAGCTGCGGGAGTCACAGAAAATGTTTATGACCCCTACTTATTTTCCTCATCTGAGAAGTTTCCACACCTCAACTTCAAGTTGATTTACTATGATTTCGCGGAATTAATGATTGCTGTATGGACAACCTGCTCCTCCAAGTGGTACTCCAGATGAGTATTTTGTTGCTGATTCTGCTAACTAGGGAAGAGCTTCATCCACTGAATGTACAGAAATGTCTTGTTGCTTTTGGACTAATTCAACCTTTGGAATATCCAAACTATGTCAAATGTAAGAATTGGGGGAGTAGCAAAGGAGAGTCATTTGTCGTTCCTTTGTAAACCATTTTGTACGGCACGGAACCCGGTTAGTGTCCCTGATGCCCGTGCCACCGACCCATACCCATAGATGTATCTTTCAACTTTAAGATCCCTCAGCTGGGGGGATTCGTGTATAATCTTTGCCTCCACCCTTCTTGGTGGTTAAATAAAGCCACGACACGGCCTAGCAGTTGAGCGACCGCAAAACAGCTCAAGTGTCTAGGACTCTTAGGAACTGAGTTTGTCCCATTGGGGCTCAGTGGAGAGCGCCCCATCCTTGTAAGGCTGCTATGAGTTGTTACCAACTAAGTGGCAAAGAGCTGCTCTCGGGCTCTCTGAAATTTATTCCAACAAATAAAAATTATTATTTTTTTTTAACGCATGTCACCCCAGATAGCTCACCAAGATCACTCCATTCTTTGGCCGTCTGGCATAGAATGCCGCTGTGTTTACCTTAAGACCGGAAAGGAAAAGAAGAAGGGATGGGTAGGGTCAAGTCCGCTCTCCCTATAATTGTCAGTGAAATCCGTGGCCTTCTGGACGGCCGTATCCTATTTTATCTTCCTGTGATCTGTGACGATATAGGGTCAGTCAGTGTCCACTAACAGCACCTCACTGAGTCTCCATAGGCTGCCAGATTTACACGCTGGTTATGGCAATCAGCCTAGGGGACTGATACCGCTTGGTGAGGATCGGATAGGGACAGAAAGACAAGTGAAGCGCCAAGAAGTGGGAAATGCTCACTAAGCCCAGGTGTTGTTGAAAGTAACATGGAAATCTCCCCCTCTTGGAAGGTTCCAGTTACAGGCGAGTTGAATTAGAAACACTTCCCAAACAGAGGTCTAGGGAGGCTTGCTTGGATGACGATCTGTCTTTCCCAGCCCAAGAAAGCCATCTCAAGGGGGAGTCGACTCCCACCAAGCCCGTGTGCCAGCCTAGGGACCCTTCCTGAGACTTCTCCCTCACTGAAGGGCGCCTTTAGGGGTTACAGGCTTTCTTCTCCGAAGAAGGAGAGATGAGTGGCCACAAGAGGGCGCATTCCAAAGACTTTTGCTCCTTAGCAGTCAATCTAGGGAAAGGCAATTTCACCTCCTGGAAGCCCCAATCTGTAAAGCGCCCAGATCCTGGTGATTATCAGTGCCCCCCCCCCCCCCCCGCTTCCTCTCCAGCTCCAGGAGAAAGTTAGGATTTTATGGGATGAGAGAATCACGACTGCCTGTGACCCAGTAAAGGAGACAGAGGAAAGGAAATGGGAATTCTAGGGATACATATGAACATTCCGGAGCTCTATGGAAGACAGAGGAATGATACATTTCAGAAGCAAAACAAAGCCGAGCGTGGAGAAATGTGACCATGAATCATCAGCAGCACTGATCTGCTCACACATCTCTCCCTAAGACGGCTGGCTGCCTGGGCTTTTACCAAAACGCCTTCCATCTTCCCTCATTTTGTTGCCTGGTCTGCCTGGCTTATCAACGCTTTTCACCAGCGACAAATGACAAGTGACTTCCAACAGGGAGGAAAGGGCTGTTTGCTGAACGCCTTGTGAGGACTTGGGTGCAGCTTCGGGGGATGCGTTTGTTTCTGAGCTGAGGCTGGAGCCAAATGGCGGAGGCGAGACAAGAAGCGAGATGCCTAGTGGTTTGGGCCTGTGACGTAGGTGGGTCGGAGTTGGGGCGGGGTGGGGGGAGCCCTCGGAGGGCAGAAAGTCAGCTTTCATATTTGGAGAACTGGGAGTCCTACCTTCCCCGGCACTTTTAGTGAAAACACCTATTTGTCTTGGCCCCTCTTCTGCTAAACTATCCTGGAGCATGAGCTGTAGATCAGAATGTCTCCTACTCCACCGGTCCCTAAATCCAGAATCCAAAGTCTAAAAGTTCTCAGGAACTTTGGAGGAAGTCTCTGAAATTTCTGTGGGCTGAATCTTAAGAATTTTCTCTCCTTCTTTGCGGAAACTAACCCCCCCCCACCCTGCCTCTCTCTCTCTCTCTCTCTCTCTCTCTCTCTCTCTATTTCATCACCATTGAAATGGAAGACACCGAATGTGGTCGAGCATTTACAATTCAATAGCAGATCCTAAGGGGGAAAAAAAATACCAAGGCTAACAAAATCAACCAGATAATTTATGACCAAAGCTATAGTTCTCCTCCAGGCAAAACCCTCAGCTGCAGGTTAAGGGAGGAGGCATACCCTTTAAGACCTCACTTGCTGCCTTCTGCACAAACCACTGGAAACAGTCCAAATGCAAAGCTAGTGCTTCCGAGAACACACAGGCCGTCCTGGTAGCCTGGACGCCCACACCCCCGACGACACCAGAGCTAGGCACAGCGGAATCGGGGACAGAATGGAAAATTAAAAGTAAAGGCCACATTTTACAGCAAGGCTTTCTCCCCCATGGCGAGTTAAAATCCTCTGTAAACAACGAGATTTTCCACATTCACGTTAGAGACATAATCATTACCCCTATGTATGGGGGCAGCATACTTTAGGCAGGACCCTGGTGAGGAAAACAAAACAGAACACAAATGAAACACTGCGTGTGTGTGCGCGTGTGCGTGATGCGTGTGTGTGTGTGTGTGTGTGTGTGTGTTGCTTATTTCGTTGGAAATGTTCCTACGCCCACAGATCCGAGGTGCAGGGCTTGAGGAAGAGCAGAATTTTGAGTCCTGGTATGGGGGGAGGGGAAGAACGAGGGGCTTGCTTGCTTAACCCTTGGCAGGCCTGCTTTCCTGATGGAGTTATTAAAAACATTTGAAAAATCCTGAAAGCAAAGGGAAAAGGTGCTTTTTCGGGTTACTCTTCCCTCCAGGTTGCGGCCCTCCTTCTGCCCAAAGCCCCTACCCTCCTTGCCCAGCAACTGGAAGGTGTGATCTTTGTCCTTCCTCCTCCTCCTCCTCGTTTTTTTTTTTTTTTAAATACACCTTTCTCTCTCCCTTTCGATTTGTCCACTGACCTCATAGAGGTTTCAGTGATGAGATATTATCACCCACATGGGTTTGCGTGGGACTTTCTTAGTGAATTACTCAGGCAGAGCAGGCTGTGATACAAGCCTTGCTCACGAGCCTCTGGAGGGAAAAAATAGCACAGAGGATGAAAAGAATATTATCAGAGAGTAGGTAATGACAGGTTAGCAACGCCAGCGGCTCTATCTGGGCAGGTAGGTGCTGATGCAGGAACCCAGTGCGCACCTGTATAGGCTGCTAAGGCTGTACCTGTTCACAAAGCATTGTGGGAAGGCTTCCATTTCAGGATTTGATGCAGGAGATAGTTAAGTCAGACCCGAGACTGATTAGTAATTGATCCCAAACATCTCAGGCACCCTCCTTCCATTTTTCAAACTGTCACGCGTAGGGATTTGAAGATTGGAGCATCCTGAAAGCATCACTGCAGTATAACAATCTCTCTTAGGTAAAATGCAGATAAAGGGAACATAATCGGGTGACTAGGTATATTTTGCACACCTAAGAAACTTGAGGGTCCTAATAGCTTTTCTGAAACCTGCAGCCCTGATAAATATTAATCATCTCAGCTTCTAGCTGTCTCATTCTCTCCACCCCCTTCTGCAATGAAAGCTAAAAATGTAAAAGAGAAAATATATATATATATATATATATATTGCACTGCTTAATAAGTCAAATACAATAGAACTTTTAAATTGTACCTGCATATAAGGTAGACATTAGGAAGACTTGCATCTCTCTCTTCCCCCTGTTCTCCTGAGCATTATGGCAACAGCATTTTCATGGAATTGGATCTGTTTTATTTTTTTTCCCTGATAAAATATCATGCAATATACAAATAGCAGTTCCAGAAATGGACACCAGGAGAAGGAGGCGACAGGCATGTCAATTAGTAGGGGGAAAATCCAAATGTCAGAAATATGGGGGAGAGATACAGCACACAGGCAGTGGATGCGAATGCAGGGAACAGTCTTTCGAGCCCAGATCATTAAACCAATGCATAAATCAGCGCTGTGCCTCTCCCCAGTACGCAGGCGATGCCGTACAGTTAATTATCAGCCAGGACCAGGTTGAAAGTCATTTTATGATGCCTCTCTGATCCTAATATAACAGCACCTGACAGATTGAGCCCCCTCTAATGAGTACTCTCTTTGTACGATCCTCTCCCAGGAACACTAAATCATTTGCTTCCAAGTACAGCTGCCTGTGAAGAAGGGGTGGGGCTATATCATGCCTTAGAAACCTGCTCTTGTGGAACGAGGGGCTGTCCTGTGGGCTGTTGCTGGAAAACCAGGGACCTCACCCCCCTGGCCCTACAAAAGGCAATTTGCATGTGCTCTGGCTCCTCCTGTCAAGTCAGCCAATTAGCAGCCCCTGGCCCCCCCCCCACCCTACCCCCCAGCATCTATGGACTTCCCCGGACTCTATTCATGGAAAGTCCGAGGGATGCTGGTTCTGCACTGCCACCTGGACCCTCTGTCTTTACCCGAGGACCATCTATCTACCTTCACCCCGGCCCCTCCTGTCAAGCCTGGTAAAAGCAGAGCGGAGGAGCCTGTGGGAATGGGTTACCTGAAACCCAGAGAGCTTTCGCATCCCGAGGACGAGTCGGATTCTCCAGTTTCACACTCTTTCCTAGAAAAACAAAACACAACCTGGTGCCCTCTGGCTTCTCTAATTTAGCAGCTACTATCTCTCTGTCTTTCCAGTGGCACCCAGCACAGTTTAGGGTTTCAGGAGCTGGCCTGCGTAGAGGCAGAAGGGAGAACAGCAGGTAGCTTGTTAGGATTCTAGGGGGGCAGGGTGGAGGTGCCTGCCCTGGAGGGCGGCTGCCCACTCCTCCTCAGGGGGGCGGCTCCAGGGCCTTGGGGGGCTTCCGAAGGACCCTACCACTTCGGATCCGCTGCTGATTGTCTTTTCAAATTTAAATCATTAAGCTCTCCTTCCTGGAATCTTCTCTTTTGCTTTCCCCCCAAAAAACAGACAGCAACAGAGAACCCACCAGTTTTCAGCCAAGGGGCATACTGCATTCACATTTTGAAAAGAAATCATGCCCCCTGGAAAAAAAAAAGAAAGAAAGGAAAGAAAGAAAGAAAAAAGAAAGAAAGAAAGAAAGAAAGAAAGAAAGAAAGAAAGAAAGAAAGAAAGAAAGAAAGAGACAGTCTCCCCTTCTCCTAACTGCTGTCGACTCTGGTGATCTAATCGTAAACCTAGCTTTATTATTCATTTCAACTCCTGCCAGAGACCCAAGGCCAGAGGCAGAGGACCCCCGCCCCCCACCCCCGGCACCCCCATCATCGTGGCCAGCGCGCTAGCAACGTTATACCGAGATGCCAGAGAATCTTTTGTATACATATGTAGCCCTTCCTGGCCCCGGCCTCAGCGAATGTACCACTATCAGAATCACAGGGTGCAGAGTGTGTTAAATTAAGAACAGAATCTACAGTGCGCAATGCACAGAAAAGCCTGCCTTCTGCTGCAGAGAACTTGAAACTGTGCCGAAAATTTATAGTACCGTAAACATCTCAGGGCTGAGAGTGATAAGTATGGCTGGATTTCCGTTAGCTATAGAAATCCAGGCAGGGAGACCCTCCTAGGGAGTTGCGAGTTCTAAGATGAACTCCTCCAACCCTGTCCTCAGATTCGGGTCCGGGATGCACGGACGGCGGACGGTTGTGAGCAGGTGCACGCGGGAGGCCGTCAGGCAAAGGGGGCGTGTTCCATGGACCACCAAGTGGTAAAAGTGCAAATAAGGGGGAAGGTTTGCTCAGGCAGAGGATTCTGGACACCTGCTCCCGAGAGTAGACGTAGTTGCGTGCGGAGACACACAGGTGCTTGCGGAAAGAGGAGGGAACGGTTTAAATTAGGCAAGAACTGAATGGTCTCTGAATCCAACTGCCTCGCCAGTGTGGGGATTTCCTCGCTCTTAGTAGCAGTTGCTGTAATTGGGGCTCATTAGAGCTGCATTCAGAAAGGAAGCAGGCAGAAACGGGGGACGCGGCAGGAGGAGGTGGATCTCCTACTCTGATATCACTCCGTGCTGAAGATGCGCTTGCCTGCCTCCTGGGAAGTGCCCGGGCCGTGACTGTGTGTGAGAGAGAGAGAGAGAGAGAGGAGAGAGAGAGAGAGACTCTCTGACCTGGGACATCCTAAATCAGACATTGGCCGGAGGGGGTGGTGGGGCAGGGGAGTGATGTGGTCTCATCTGAAAACCCAACCCTTCCCCAGGGCGGCCACTGACGATGAGGTGTGGGGAGCAGGAGGGTTCTAGGCAGCGGTCACCGGCGGGGGCTGAGACAGCGTATGGGATGCTCCTGACCTTGAACGAACGGGTGTGGCTGAGCCACCCAGGACCGGGCACTGAAAGGGGGTTGGAGTTGAAGGCGAAGCAGCTGAGGTGGAGCCCAGAGTCCTGGGAACTTTCTGTGTATACCTGCTGCAATGATTGCAGAGGGGCCTGGCTCCATGCTGGGGGGTGTGGGAGGCGGATGTGGGGAAGGGCTGTGGCGGTGACCCAGGAAAGAAACGATGGAGGGGTGGGGCAGGGTGCGGCCAGGGCTAGCTGGGTGGCACCCGCCAGGCTCGCTTACATGGGGGGTGTCCGTGCATTTCTGTGGGCAGAGCGGGGCTTCCGCAGCTCGCCAGGGCTCGCGGTGCGCCTTCATCCGTGCTATGCCAAGCCCGCCGCATGATGGGTCAAATGTCACTACGTCATCCCCATCTCATAGAAGATGAAACTGAGATTAAACAGTTAGCGCACAGACGCAGAGCCCCCCAGGCTTCCGGACACTGACAGATCTAAGGCTCTCTTCTCTCTCCAGCCAGGCGTTGACAGACTTGCTCTGGAAAGGGCCGGAGAACAAATATTTTAAGCTCTGCTCTGTGGGCCAGTCTCTGTTGGGTCTGCCCGACTCCATGATGTAGCACAGAAGCCAGCCACAGACAGCCCGTAAAGAAGTGAGCCTAGCTGTGGTCCCAGGCAGCCTCATTTATGGGCACTGGAGTGTGAATGTCCTATAAGTTTCTCGTGTCACAAAATGCTCTTCCCCTTCAGCCATTTCCAACTGTCAAAACCCTCCTGGTGGCCGGTGGGCCGTGACTCGCTGACCCCTGCTGGAGACGGTGGCAGAGGTGCCACGCTCGCCCGAAATGAGTGAGTGGTGACCCCCCAGCACAACTAACGAGTGTCCCTGCTCTCTCTTGTGCTGTGTTTCGTCTGCAGGCACAGCCAGGAAAACGCTGCACTTTGAGATTTCCAAAGAAGGCAGTGACCTGTCGGTGGTGGAGCGTGCAGAAGTCTGGCTCTTCCTCAAAGTCCCCAAGGCCAACAGGACCAGGACCAAAGTCACCATCCGGCTCTTGCAGAAGCACCCCCAGGGCAGCTTGGATGCGGGGGAGGAGGCCGAGGACATGGGCTTCCCGGAGGAGAGGAACGAGGTGTTGATTTCTGAAAAGGTGGTGGACGCACGGAAGAGCACCTGGCACATCTTCCCTGTCTCCAGCAGCATCCAGCGCTTGCTGGACCAGGGCAGGAGCTCCCTGGACGTTCGGATTGCCTGCGAGCAGTGCCACGAGACGGGCGCCAGCCTGGTGCTCCTGGGCAAGAAGAAGAAGAAGGAGGACGAGGGGGAAGGGAAGAAGAAGGACGGAGGTGACGCAGGGGCCGGGGGGGACGAGGACAAGGAGCAGTCCCACAGACCTTTCCTCATGCTGCAGGCCCGCCAGTCTGAAGACCACCCTCATCGGCGGCGGCGGCGGGGCCTGGAGTGTGACGGCAAGGTCAACATCTGCTGTAAGAAACAGTTCTTTGTGAGCTTCAAGGACATCGGCTGGAACGACTGGATCATCGCCCCCTCCGGCTATCACGCCAACTACTGCGAGGGTGGGTGCCCGAGCCACATAGCAGGCACGTCGGGGTCCTCGCTCTCCTTTCACTCGACCGTCATCAACCACTACCGCCTGCGGGGTCACAGCCCCTTCACCAACCTCAAGTCGTGCTGTGTGCCCACCAAGCTGAGACCAATGTCCATGCTGTACTACGATGATGGGCAAAACATCATCAAAAAGGACATTCAGAACATGATCGTGGAGGAGTGCGGGTGCTCATAGAGCGCCCCCGGCCCAGGGGTGGGGGGACAGGAGCCGGAGTTGTCCAGAGAAGAGACGGTGGCAAAACAAAAAACAAAAAACAAAAACAAAACAAACAAACAAAAACAAAAAACAAAACAACAACAAAAAAAAAGAAGAAATGTTTAAGGTTTCTGAGTTAAACAAGCAGGAAAAAAAGATAGAGATTAAGAAAAAAATAAATAAACTAAAAAGCAAAACCTGAAACAGATGAAGGAAGATGTGGCGAAATTCCTTAGCCAGGGCTCAGAGATGGAGCAGAGGACGAGATAGGAATTGGGAGGGAGAGGAGAGCGGCACACCCTTCATTTCTTCTGATATCGAGGTGATGACATCCGTCGCTTACGCGGGAGTATTGTCCCCTCCTTTTCAATCCCCTTTCAGTGTGAGCCTCGAGGTCAACTTGTCTAGTCTGCAGTCATGTGGGCTGGCACAACCCAAATAGCATCTAGAAAGCCATGAGTCCGAAAGAGCCGGTTACAGGCGCTTTCCCACCCAGTTACCCAGGTTGTAAGGTATGTCTGTGTGACCCTCTCTCTGTGTATATCAGCCCGTGCACACACGCACACAGACACACACACACACACATCCACACACAGAGGCATTTCCACACGACACATGCATACATGTACTGGTAAGAGAACAATAGTGTGCAGGCGGTCACACTTCTTTTTTCTGCACCAGTTTTGCAACAGAGCAAAACGAAACAAAAACCAACCTTAAAAAAAAAAAAATTTGAGAACAAGAATGGGAAGAGAGAAAAATCAAGGAACAAAGAATACCAAGTTACATTTCGTTAAGGTGCTTATGATCTTAGTACTATGCAACCTAATAGGTTTGAAACTGTTTACCTGAGAGAGAACAAAATGAGAGACTTTTTTGTATTGGAAGTAACCTGATTAATTTTTATTTTCTTCAAGGAGAGATACTTGAAAGGAATATGTTTGTCCATCTGTTGGATCCAAACATTTCTATATTTTGTAAATGTTGTTTTTTTTTTTATCGTTTACTATTTGCACTACAATGGTGTTTGACCTGTCTAATCCTTATTTAACAAGTATTTTCTTTGGGTGGGGGTGGGGGGGGTTAAGAGCTGCACTTAATGTGAGCTATAAAAGAACTGCTACAGCACACAAAATAGCTATTTTTATTATTATAATTATAATTATTATTATTATTTTGTACCTTAAAAAATAGACACATACACCAAAGACATTTGTGTGAGCCTTTAAACAGTCTGTCTGTGGTTGGTATCATTCACCATCAGTGAGTCAGGGGTTGGGATTCAAGGCAGAGTAGGGTGGATTGTGTTCAGGCCTCGAAGACCTGAGAAGTTTGGTTTTTGACTCCTTTGACATCCATGAAACGGGCCATTTCATACTGGATGTACAGTAGTTGTACACTGTCGGCTATCATGGAACACTACATGCTTGTGTGTGTATATGTACGTCGCTCGTGCATATGCATACCTGTGTGTATATATACATGGATCGCATCATGCCCATGCACATTTTAAGCACGTCAGGCTGTCATTTTGTAATGTTCTTAAAGCAATGAATGTTTGTGTGCAAAACACAGTATTTTTAAGAAGGATAGGCTATAGTTTTTGCTTTTCCTCTGAACTAGGTGGGCACATTTCAAAAAATGTGGATGGGAAGAAGCCTGGAAACTCCAGTGAATATTGAGCAAGACCCTCTTTTGTTGTGCAGGGATCCAGCACCCTCTCTTTCTTGCCCCTCACCTCCATCCCACCAGGTATTCCCTGCAGGGAAAACAGGAAACTCATGTTCTTCAAGGTTCTAGGCTGATTTTTTTTTTTTTTTTGCGTGCACGACTTTTATTTATTTTCCATTGGAATCAATCTTAAATCAGAAAGCTTTTTCAGAAAGAAAAAAAAAAACCTAATCTTTAGGCCAGAAGAAGAGTTGGGTACTTTTTTTTTTTTTTTTTTTTTTGATTAAGGCCTAAGCGTGAGAAATCTTACTTGCTGGGCTAAATAATGTTGTTGTCACTAGTAAAAGATAAATAACTTGGAGCAAAGTCTTGAGAGATTGGGAAGAAGGGAGAGAACGGCAGGGTGGCAGCAATGGTAAAAATCCCTAATGTTTTAATTTACAGCCCAAACTTCTGATATATAAGTTTGTATGTACTGACTCAGATGCAGAAAAGAAAAAAAACACACTTCATTTTATAAATATCAAAGTACATGCTTAAAGCTAAATTTCTACTAATTTATTCCACAGTATTTAGCTTGCCTAGAATAGCTAATAAGTTATTCACTTATATGCTTTTAAAAATACAGAGCCTTATTTTTACTGACTTGTTTGTAGTTTGCAAAAATTGAAAAAAATACTAATAATTTGGAAAAATTGCATTCGTTAGTATTTTGTAAAATACGGAAGCTTTCAGCCCTCTGTCAATTCATTGATTTAAAAAGACTAATGGTAGAAAAATAAAATAGTGAGAAACCAAACGCTCCTAAAGGTGGTTTAGCTCTTCTTGAGATATATATATATATATATATATATATATATATATATATATATATACACTAAATTGGTGTCCTAGAACACTAGGCTGTATGTAGGCAAATTATTTTAATGTTATTACTGGGTAGATATACTTAACTGCATCTCGAAGTCCGCCCTTTCTTCTGCAGAAATACAACATGTACTACAAGGAAGTGGACTCTAATTAATTGGAAGAGGGAGAGCATGCAAAGTTGGTACTTGCTTCCTCACTCTTAACCGTTGGCCGGGAGATCGTTGAGGTTGGCAAGGTGGGCACCGTGAGGAAAGTTTCAAGGCGAGGGGGATGGTGATGTTCAGCTTTACAAATTTGCATGAAAAATTTAGAGGGCCTTTCAGACTGTCTCTTATGTGGTAGTGGCACTAATAATGGAACCCGCAAAGATAGCGTGGAGAACCAAGTCCTAGTGCACAGGGCTCTAGCAGAGATGGTCAGAGCAGTGGGAAAAGCAGGCTGCTCAAAGACAGCTGCCTGTTGGTGGCTCCCATTCATCTCAAGTGTGTGCACCATCTTTTTAAGCCCTTTAAAAGAGTGCTGGACACTTTAAAAGAGTGCTGGGGGGTGATATGGAGTTTGGTTAGTGGCCATAGTAATTGCAAGCAGAACAAAATGAAATCCCACGTGACAATATTTGAATGGGATGTGTTAGTTGAGATTAAATGATTGGGTTATTGAGCATCTCCAATCTTTGACATTATTTCATTACATTTATGTGGCCTTGAAACAGAATTAGAAATTGTTGCTATCTTTAATAATCTTGGAAGATACGCAGGCTTGTAAACAACCACACTTTTCATGTAGCAGCATGAAGCCAAAAGAAAAAGCTTTTAAATTCTGCGATATTGGTTCTTCATAGTAGGTTTTCCTTAAAACAGGGTGGCTCTATCTGATCTTAGCATCTCTCTGCTCTTTCTCTAGGGCTAATCTCTAGGCTCTTAAAAATCTACTCATACCAATCTTAAAAGCTCTGAAAAGTATTTTTTAAGAATGATAATTATTTGGTAGTTTGGGTTCTTTCTTTCTTTCTTTATCTTTATTAAAAAAAAAAAAAAAAAAAAAAGCATGGCAAGTTCCAGCACACTGAGTTGGGATTTTCTTGTCCCTGAAGACCAATCAATTTCATAGATATTTAAGATTGATTCCACACTTTGTTTTCAAGGAGAATGCCTGCATTCTCCTCTAAGGAAGAGCAAATGAATTTTGTTTTTCACCCCCGCGGGATTGGACCTCAAGAAGTAACTCTAAAAAACAGAGAACACAAATGCCTCAGTTGTATTAAGCTTAGATTCAAATTATTATGTTCACTTGAAAAAATGATTTCCTGGGGGCCTTTTGGCAACTTCCCTTTTCAATGTAGAGAAGAACTTAGTCACCCTGAAACCCTACACAATAAATGGAACTTGTAGATGTGGGCAGAAGGTTTGGGGGTGGACATTGTGTGTGTTTAAATTAAACCCTTTATCACTGAGAAGCTGTTGTATGGGTCAGAGAAAATGAATGCTTAGAAGCTGTTCACATCTTCAAGAGCAGAAGCAAACCACATGTCTCAGCTACATTATTTATTTTTTATGCATAAAGTGAATCATTTCTTCTGTATTAATTTCCAATGGGTTTTACCCTCTATTTAAATGCTTTGGAAAACAGTGCATTGACAATGGGTTGATATTTTTCTTTAAAAGAAAAATATAATTATGAAAGCCAAGATAATCTGAAGCCTGTTTTGTTTTAAAACTTTTTATGTTCTGTGGTTGATGTTGTTTGTTTGTTTGTTTGTTTGTTTTTATTATTATTATTTTTTTGGCATACTACATGCAGTTCTTTAACCGACGTCTGTTTGGCTAATGTAATTAAAGTTGTTAATTTATATGAGTGCATTTCAACTATGTCAATGGTTTCTTAATATTTATTGTGTAGAAGTACTGGTAATTTTTTTATTTACAATATGTTTAAAGAGATAACAGTTTGATATGTTTTCATGTGTTTATAGCAGAAGTTATTTATTTCTATGGCATTCCAGCGGATATTTTGGTGTTTGCGAGGCATGCAGTCAATATTTTGTACAGTTAGTGGACAGTATTCAGCAACGCCTGATAGCTTCTTTGGCCTTATGTTAAATAAAAAACCTGTTTGGGATTTATTTTTTATTTTTATTTTTATTTTATGTCTTATTGGTTTTCCAAGATCAACTTTGCACACATACGGCTACACCCTTTGCTGGGTGATAATTTCGTTTCTCCTGTAATTATCGAGAAGCGTATGAGAAACAGACTGAATGGGAGAGAGAAGACAAAAGCTGGATGGAACAAGAGTACTCAGAGAGGAGAAGAATAAATATTGCTGTGGCAGGGCTTTGTAATACGCTGCAGATGCTTGGACCAGTAGTAGTTATATTTTATTCATTTTGTTAATTTCCCATTTCTCAAAGTGTAGTGGCAAGTAACATGAAATAAAGTAAAATTCCTTCCTTCCTTCCCTCCCCCTTCCCTCCATTCCCCCCTCTTCCCTTCTTTCCTCCCTCCTTCTCTCCTTCTTTCCTTTCCTCCTTCCCTCCTTCTTCTCCCTTTCCCTTCTGGCTAGAAAATTGGAATTGCAGGGAGTAACTAGGGCTAGAAACAGATATAACTTAGGAAAGAAAAGAACCAGGACCAACAGGACCAAAATGGAATCACAGAAGTACAGTCAAGACCAAATTGGCTGTTTGATCTTTTCTTCTGTAGGTTTTGCTCTAGTATCTGTGTCCATCAAAGGGGTTATATGGAGATACTAACACCTGGTAATGCCCATGTGAGCCAAGCAAGTCCCCGTGTGACCACCCAGTAGATGCTTTCCCTGTTTTTACAGATGAATTAGAGGCATGAAGTAACATTAATTGGAACTAGGATTTCAAGCCAGCTCTATATTCAAATCTAAAGTGTAGTAATAGTAGTAGCAGCAGCAGTAGCAGTAGTAGTATTTTGCTGCTCTGTATGCCAATAGATTCAGATACAGATTCCTCATGTACTGAGAACAAAAAGGAGGGAGTGGGGGTGGGGTTTGGAGTTGAGTGTTGAGGACACTTTTAACTTCTTACCACAGACACTTTATACCCACCGGACAGTTTACTTAACTCCAAGTAAAATGCCAAGTTCATGTAAATTCACACAAAACCCTTTTTATTTGTTTTAGGTAGGAAAGTTACATTTTTTGAAAATTAAAAAATAAGAGTTGTTACAGTTTTGCTTTATATTTGCAAATATGTCTTATTTTTCCATTCTTTTATTTTGCTGGATGAAGCCTCTTACCCAAAGTATCTTACTTTGGGGGCTCAGCGATATTTGTATGTACATGCCCATGGGTGCACGCGTGCACCCAGGAGCATGTACATTAGTCTTCAATTCCCACCAGATTTAATAATGATTGCATATTAGGAACTAAGTAAAAACCCCAGTAAATTACAAATGAGTGACATTAATAGGAAATTTATACAGGTTATCAGAAATTAAAGCAAAAAATGACTGAAAGGAAGCAAAAGTCAGTATAG